CACACACACACACACACACACACACACACACACACACACACACACACACACACACACACACACACGTTTAAGTCAAACACTATGTTGGGGAACTTCATTTCAAAAGATTGGATTTGGCTGACAAAAACATATTTATTTCATTTTTAGGATCTATATATTTGTATGTTTTTGTGTCATTAAACACGCTAACATCTGATTTGCTTCCCCTGAAGCAGCTTCAAGGTCTCCACACAGTCTGACCGTGTAACAGAAAGTCTGTTAAAGCTCTTTATTGAAGCTGTGTGAGGTACCCAGTGACGGATTATTTTTTAATGTGTTTTTAGCTGTTGTTCACACTCACATCTTCTCTGGTTCAGTTCTCTGAATTCACTTTGGCACAAAAAGCAACACCTCAGATGATGACAGAGTCAGAGCTGAGCGACTCAGCCTTCAGCCTCGAGCACTTTAGAACAAACATCTAACAGACAGAGACTGAAAGACTCAGACTAGAATAATAATATGCTTTCATTATTTTGAATTAATTTGCCTACGTATATTCATTCAAACGTTTTATACAATATCATTTATTTAATATAAGAATTATGTATATTATTAATAATTTCATTTTTATTTTAATTGCTTAAAATGAACGAAGAAGAATATGTACAACAAAAAATAAACATTAGCAGTTACACAAATTAAAATGTAACACAAGTTAAAAAGTTATTTAACAAAAACATTTAATGTTAAAATACAAAAGTAACTGTGAGATATCATTCTCTAAGAGTTACATGATCTTATTCTGGTGAACACTTGTTTCTATGTCTGTTCAATGAACAACAAAGACACAAGATGTACATCAGACAGACATGGAGGCTGTTGAAAGGTGTATTGTTTGTTTGGTTTAGTTTGATGGAGCTAGGCTAGTTCCCGTCTTTGTGCTAAGCTAGGCTAAACACATCCGGGATACATCTCTACAGAGGACACGGGTCTGAATAAAGCATCACATGACTAATCTACAGAACCAAACACTTTAGATCACAACTGGATCTAAGACAGAAAACGTCCCCAACATGTCAGTGTTGTTATAACACAGTTCACTGGGGGGGGGGGGGGGGGGGCGCGGATGTATATAACCTAGCTTACGGGTGTGGACAGGGCGAGGAA